TACATATCCAGGATCCCAGAGCTTAACACCAAGCTCGTTGGATGGCAAAGATAATTTACACTCTTAAAATTTTCCCGTTTTGCTTCCGATTCCAACTAGAATGCACGTGGACTGTCATCTCTAGACCACTTCAACACTTTCGTAATAAAGATATATATGAAAGCCTGGTTTAAATACACGCGTGCCTCGTCTGCTCCGCAGCCCCCCCCGACCCACCCCCGAATTTGCAGCTTTGATGTAAATTGTTATGTACTGTGGCGCCCCTAGTAATAAAGAAATTAACAAGCCTACCAAGTTTTGGTTTTGTCCCCCCCCCCCCCTTGAAAAAAAACCCTGAAATTACGCCCCTGCAGGGAGCTGATGCTAAAGAAAGATGCAATATAGTAATTCTCTGGACACTTACTTAAGTGAAATCCTGGTCGGTGTCTCATTCTTTGACACTGCTGGTGTCAGCTGAGCTGAAGGCAGCCATGGTTACAGCGCTTGACCAAAAAAAAAACAACTGATCATCCTCCACGCATTCCCTTTCACCCCACACTACCCCAGAATCAGCTGTCTGTACATCGCAATGCACCAGGACACTTTTCATAAAGTAGAGACCATGACTAAATTGTTGGTCATTGGAAGGTGAGGACTTTGAAATTCATCAACGATGCAGCCAAGCGAGGGCAGGCCTTGATTCGTGCGTTATCAAATCAAGAAAAACAGGGGCGGATATACTTTCTTTAAGTCGTAGAAAAACACCGCTATGACTTTCCAAAAACAAAAAACAAGTCCGCCTTTACTGCAGTTCGTACAGAAACATCCACATGTGGGTCGACATCATAATTAACATTAAGACATTTTGGGTTATTGTTTGAAATAAACTGATTTATAGCAAACTTGTTTTAAAATTGACCTTTGAAATGACCATTAACAGCAACAGGGCTGATCTTCTTGTGGAGGATTTTTACAGTATATTTTCAATTGTGATATTGAGGTTAATATTATACGATAATACGGAATTATATCGCATATTGCAAAACTTTATATATATATATATATATATATATATATATATACAGAGAGACAGAGAGACAGAGACAGAGAGAGAGGGGGAGAGAGAGAGAGAGAGAGTTGATAGACGCCCATGGCTGAGAGAAATAAGCCGCTCGGGCTGTCACCACCTTACCACCCCATTAGGTACGCCTTTGGGGAAGACAAAATTTCGACGGCTTAGAGGCCTCCGCAGGTCCTAGTCCCAACCTGATTATGCTCCTATGACGAGAGAGCACCAAGAGATTGAATCATTTGTATAATTCAAGTTTACGATAATACTGCCACATTATCTTGAATCTTCTTCTTCTTCTTCTTCTATATCTTAAGGGCCCACGATCAATTTATTGATCATTTTGGCTCCTATGCATGTAGATGGGATTTGCAATGTTTCTGTTCCTGGTGTTGATGAGGAAATTTCACAGATTTCCAGTGCCACTTTGTGAGGGAATCATGCACTGGGGGTTTGAAGGCTTGAGGCAATAGACACAAATGTGTCTAGTGTTGTCGCCTCAACCGTTCCTTTTGAAAGATTGTTCCAGTCCCTGATTGTCTTGGGCAGGAATGAGCAGCTCCTATACTGGCTTCTTGCTGGTATGAGCCTGAATTGCCTGTCATGGCCTCGTCGCTGTCTATGGGGGAGAGGTACGAGTTTCTGTTTAATACTGGAACAGTGGACCAGCCCATTATTTATCTTGTACATCATGGAGAGCCTGGATTGTCGTCGTCGTTTCTCCAATGGTGACCAGCCTAGTGTTTCTAGCATGCTGCCAACACTTGAGGTATTCCTGTAGCGGTTTAGGACAAAGCGTGCTGCTCGTCGCTGGACCGCCTCCAACCTGTCAATGCTCTTCTGGGTAAATGGGTCCCAGACTGAAGATGCATAATCTAAAATCGGACGGATAAAGGCTTTATATGCTCTTTCTTTCACACAGGAGTTGCCAATCTTTAGATTTCGCCTTAAGAACCCTAGGGTCTTGTTTGCTTGGTTACATACATTGTTAATATGTTCATCCCATCGGACCTCTCTTTGAATGGTATCTTTGAGATAGTCATATTTTCTTTCAATTATGTTTGATACTTCCCAACGGACTAGACATGTTGCAGACACTTAGCCAGGGAAATAGAGTCACAGGGATCGTCACTTCCCCCTCATAATAATAATCAGCCATTCGTTGATTAAATATACTTTTATCAATTTAAAGTTAACGCCATTTTTTGTTAAGGATATTATTTATGTGTGACGCCCGGGCCATGCTTTCATTTAACATTTTAACTATATATATATATATATATATATATATATCGAAGGTGTACTAAAGTTTGATTATTAAAATGTATCACAGGCAGCTTGAAAATGGATGCAAACCAACACCACAGGATGAAGTGCCACCTGAAGACGACCTTCTTCGCAACGGCTGCTGTAGAGTGAAGAAGATCAAGTTTAAGAGAGGTGGAGCAAGTTTCTGAATCATGGTGTGCGATAGGAGAGGAGGGGGGTTCTTTGTAACTTGGCATAGAAACGTGGTTCTCAAAGTGATAGCTCGCAAACCAGCACCTTCCCACGAATTCTGAGACACCGGTCCAAAAAAAAAAAAAGATAATAATAAATAAAGGAAAAATATACGAAGATCCAAAAAAAAATTTAAAAAATCACTGTTTTTGTTGACAAGCCCCTACGCACTTACTGCAAATGACGTCATTTCATCCGATCAGTCACACACAAAGATACCAATAAGCCGAAACAACCCATAAAAACAAAGTTTTTCGTATAAATACTGCATAAAATTTAATATCCAGCGGGGGTTGGGGGGGGGTGCTGACAATTTGACAAAACACTCATTCAAGCAACGCACTTTGTAAGATTCTCAATTAGCGCCCCCACTCCCAGGATCGTAACAGCACATGTTACTTACCCCCCTTGAACTATAGTAGTATTCTACTGGCCCACCCGCTTTTACATCGCACATTAAAATCACCAAATACTTCAGAAAAACGAAAGAAAATATTACTAACCAAACGCACATGCGATTTTAAAAAAAAAAATAATATCATTTATCGCAGTTATCGGAAGTTTTATTTCGTGAAATCAGTGGCATATGTCCTTCATTTTCCCCTTGAAAAAAAAAAAAAGAAAGAAAAATTAATTTTTGATGGCTGGGGTAGAGGGTGGAGCTGAAAATTTAAAAGAATGTGTTGTCATCAGCAACAAATCTATATGCCAAGGTTCAGCTCGATAGGTTGACAGGAAGTGGGTCAATAAGCCGTCCGAAGATATTGCAAGCAAGAATGAAACACACGAACAAAAGCGAAGTTAATATAACGGATTTAATTAAAATGCATGGCTTACAGCTAGCTTTGCAGTTTGACTAGAGAACATTTAGATTTTGAGCAAGAAGCGCTACGCAAAGAGCTACATTATATAAATGTATGAATTTATTTTACTTTAAACATCTATATCCTAATGGGATAAAATAGTCGTTTATGTTATTCTTTAAATTACTATATCGAAAAATAAAAGATCAGTAAATATTAAATAACCACAATTCTTTTGGTGTGTGGATTTGGTTTATCGTTTTAAATATTTAATACACTGGTCAATTAATAATGAGGAAGTGTGACTAGCATTTGCATTGGACACATTTGCTAGTTTATCATCCAAGTAGCCAAATAAACCAACGTTTTTCCCTTTTCTTTTGCGTGGGCGTGTGTGGATGTTGTTTACCCACGGGACAGGCGAGTTTTCTTGCTTTTAGGATGTTAACGGCAAGTTGTCGATTTTTACCAGCCAGTTTTCGAATTATTTTTTTGTATGTCATGATATAAATAAATAGTTTTAAAAATAAATTAATAAATAAACCAAGAGTAAATGTATTTTTAAAATTATTAATTAAATAGTAAAAATACCCGTTTTAAAGTAAAGATGCTGTATAAAAACTGGTTGTGACTAATTTTTTTTTAAACGGGAAAATTGGTCATCTTGTCGTTTCATGCGTTTGTTGTGCGATATAATTATTACTATTTTAGCAGATTGCAGTCTCCCATAATTTAGCCCCCCCCCCCCAAAAAAAAAAGACAACTACATTGTATAACGGATAAAGGCTTTATATGCTCTTTCTTTCACACAGGAGTTGCCAATCTTTAGATTTCGCCTTAAGAACCCTAGGGTCTTGTTTGCTTGGTTACATACATTGTTAATATGTTCATCCCATCGGACCTCTCTTTGAATGGTATCTTTGAGATAGTCATATTTTCTTTCAATTATGTTTGATACTTCCCAACGGACTAGACATGTTGCAGACACTTAGCCAGGGAAATAGAGTCACAGGGATCGTCACTTCCCCCTCATAATAATAATCAGCCATTCGTTGATTAAATATACTTTTATCAATTTAAAGTTAACGCCATTTTTTGTTAAGGATATTATTTATGTGTGACGCCCGGGCCATGCTTTCATTTAACATTTTAACTATATATATATATATATATATATATATATCGAAGGTGTACTAAAGTTTGATTATTAAAATGTATCACAGGCAGCTTGAAAATGGATGCAAACCAACACCACAGGATGAAGTGCCACCTGAAGACGACCTTCTTCGCAACGGCTGCTGTAGAGTGAAGAAGATCAAGTTTAAGAGAGGTGGAGCAAGTTTCTGAATCATGGTGTGCGATAGGAGAGGAGGGGGGTTCTTTGTAACTTGGCATAGAAACGTGGTTCTCAAAGTGATAGCTCGCAAACCAGCACCTTCCCACGAATTCTGAGACACCGGTCCAAAAAAAAAAAAAAAAAAAAAAAAAAAAAAAAAAAAAAAAAAAAAAAAAAAACAAAAAAAAAAAAAAAAAAACAAAAACCCCCATTCCTCTTCCCCCCCCCCACCTCCCTTCCCCCCAATAGGTCTTTATGTTTTAGTGAACAAAAAAAAAACAATTAAAAAACTACAGTAACACCCTTTCCAGCAGGACTAGAGCCCAGGTTGTAAAAATCCGAAAAGCAATTGAAAACTGGATTTCTAAAACCGAAAAATGGTTTGCCGAAGAAAAACGGCTTGACATCTCTATCTATTTACGATTCAACCAACGAATATGGTATACTGTATTTGGTTTCCTTACACAAACGAAATAGTGAAACAAATATGGCTGATACCGACGAAATGAGAGATGCTGGGCTTGAAGAAGGAGAGTGTAGCAGTGATTCTGGCAATGAGCAGGTTCAGATTCTTTTAAATAATTAAAAGAAATTGTTGCAGATACAAAATTTAATATTAAATAATCTTACATTTAAAGTGGCTAGGCCTATATCTCACTTCGACGGAATTAATTATTTTCCGTGAAATAACGGTTGGCGTCTGCTACTCTTTAATCTTTACTTTACTTTCTGTCTTCACCTGCTAACCGACCTGCCTAAATGCCAATGCTGCATGCTACTAACACTTATTACGATAGCCCTTATTACTTATTACTGCTGATAGGAATAGACTGCTACTAGTGCAAGACTATGATGGTTTACTAGTACTATGATTTACTATTTCTTAATTTTTAAGAAATTAAACTAATAACTACTTTAGCTCTATTTGAATTTGAAGAATATACTATGCCAGACAAAATATTTTCCCAAGGGTTGGAGGCTGAGCAACAAAACAGGCTACATTTTTCCAGGTGGGTAATTGAAAGTGGTAGCTTCCTAGCCTCTAGCCCTAGCTTATCTTTGGCTGGGCAAATGACAACAACCCTCTCCTGAAGAACAGTGGTCAGTGGTAGTTTTATGAAGACCAATGATATTATTTTTTCTGAAGCGTTCATTAATGTCATTATTATTCATTTAATTGCATTTTAATTTAAAGTAGTTTCGTCATTACTTGTCCGCACTATATTGCGCATGTCGAGAAATGAATCAACATTTTTTGTGGCCATGAAATAATCGACTCTGCGGTGATCTCGTTTTTTGCTTTTCACGTCGCAGTGTTCTAATTACTAATAATGAATTAATTTTGTCATCAATTCCTGAAAATATTATTTGTTTTACGATGACGCACAACTGATTCCAGCTTGAGTCTAATAGTATCCGGTTGCGAATGGCGGCGCTGCGTGTCTAGGTCCGTTTTGACTCAGTGCTATTCGGATGTCATTTGCGGTAGTTTATTTTAGTTAAACTGAAGAGTTAAGTTTAAAAACATAAAGTCCATTCAATTATCTTTCATTTGATACCTTCTTTGTCTTACAAACCAAACAATAAAATTTTAAATAGTTTTTTTAATCCCAACCTCTCACTTCTGGTACCCAGGTAGGAATAGCCACTTAGTTTAATTTATTTACAAAAGTGGGATGGTTTTGGGGAGGGGGGTGGGGGTGGTTTAGTCAATTTAGTGTGTTAAATTTTGTTATGTGATAGTGTTCCAAAATCTGCCGAAATGGCATACATCACTCATGTCATATTTTTAAAAGTCTTATTACAGCTGTTTCAAAAGGGGAGGAGAAACTCTCAGTATGTAGTTCAATTAATATGTAAAGCTTCACCTCTTCATTTATATTTTTGTGTTTCAGATGTCCACAATCAGTTCAAAGCCAGCTCCTTTTAACTTATACGCACAACCAAATAATAATTTGAACTATCGCTCACAAATACCCCAGATAACTATAAACTCTGAAGAAAGCAATGATGACAGTGATGATGGAAGTCCTTCCCCATGGAAGCGACAGCGGAATCCACATGATAAGCCTTGCCAACTTGATGAGCTTTCTAATGTTCCATTCGTTAATCCTTTGCTCTCTGGTGATTCATTGTCTACCAGGGTAACTAAACGAAAGAACAATATTTGGGGATCAGTTCTCACAGAGCAAGTGTTGGCACAGGAAGTAAAAACATTTGGTGTAAATAATAAGTTAGTTAACATGGGTGGTCGTGATGTGGAAAGCTATGATTTTACCAAAGCAAGAGAAGATGAAAGACCTAATTTAGAGTTGAATCCAAATTTTGATGAATATAAAGATGATATTTTTGGTGGTGTTGTTGATTTAGAAACGGAAGTTAAAAAAAATGAGAACCTCAATAGAAAAAGGAAAGCCAAACAGCGCTTAGGGAAAAAATCATACAATCAGCGTAAAGTTCATGAGTTGGGAGTTGGTGAACAAAACAGTGAGGTGGAAATTGCAGAAGCAATTACAAAGGGATTGTCTGAGCCAAAGGTGGAACTCATCAGTGAGTAAATAACTTTTTTCAAAATTTTTAAGTTGAAATATTCAGATTTTTATAAAATCCAAAATTCCATGTGGCTGTAGGACTAGTTTCATAATATTATAGTTATAGCATTTATTTGGATTATTTGATGTAAGTAAACACTTGTGTTTGTGATATTTACAGCTCGTATTGTGGAAACATTGGGCAAAGCAACAGCGATTAGACTTTACTACATGACAGAAAAGGTTGAAGAGGCAGGTGGCATGATGACTAATGTAAGTGATCAGCTAAACTAAAGTTTTTTAAACAAATTCTTAGTGAGTGGCAATATTTTAATTTGTTAAATCTGTTGCAGGATGGGTTTCGTCGACGTACACCTGGTGGAGTGTACATACAACTTTTAAAATCAGACAGTTTGGTTAGCAAAGAGCAAGTTGAGACCATATTCAAAAGTGATATTGAGGAATGGAAAAAAACTTTGCGCAACAAGAGAAAAGTGTAAGCTATAGATTTTTTAAATTCTGACATCATCATTGTGGATATAAATTATTTTAAAAAAATAAGCCTGGTGGAAAGGTTAGCAAGCTTTAATCATAATAGAAACTTTTAAAAAATTCTGTTGAAAGGGTAGCTTAGGAAATATTTTAAAAAATATTAATTAAGTGTTAATGAATGTGACAAACTATTCTGAACATTGCTCACATCTGTTCTATGCTATTTTTTGTGACTGGTACTTCAAATATAATTTGGAAACATGCTGACATATTTGAATTATCAAACTGACCACACCTTTAGCCTCCAATGTTTTAAAAAAAAATTAATTACAAAACAACCACTGATAAATCTCCTACACTAATTTTTTGAGATGAAAACATTTTTTTTTTAAAAATCTTTAAAAGGAACTTGCTTTGTAATTGCAGCAAAAAAGCTTCCAGAAAGAAGTGGAAAAGGCAGCAGAAAGCATTGGATCTTGATAGACCAGAGACTCCCACTCCAGGTGAAGATTTAGATGTCTTGAATTCTTTAGACAGCAATAATGAATTTGATGCCACTGACTTGCCAGAACGGCCAGCCACACCAGAGCCTAAAGATGATTCCTCAGATGGCCAAGGTGATGATCCTGGTGATGAGGAAGAAGAGGATATTGCTCTTGCCATAGCTCGTGCTAAAGCTGCTATCTTGAAGAAGCAAAGAGAACTTGCAAGTGGCATGTCATTTGGTGAGGGAAGTGGTGATAACAGCTGTTTGCCCCAAGACTGCAATGAAGCTGGGGACATGGAGGATGTGATAGACTAATTTTGTTTAGTTATTTACTGTACACAAGGTGAATAACTTGTATTACTTTAAAATTGTATTTCTGTAAATTGTTTTGATACAATAAATTCTAAATATTTGATTGTTTATTTATTTTTCTTTAGTTTTTCAGAAGTTAAGGGTATCAATATTAAGCTTCCCTGATTATCTTGAAAGATGAAACATGGATTTGAAGAACAACTAAGAAAACAAGGTTCACTGATATTATAATTAATACAAAATTTTATTAAGCAGCATGTATATGTTTACCAGTTCCACAAAAATGGCTAATGATATTGATAGAATTGGAAGTCTGTGAATTGAGTATCCTCGATAAATTTGGCACTTCTACAAAATATGTTTGAGTTTGGGACAAGTAACTGACTTGAAACTCATTGGTTATCACCATAAGATAATCAATTTTTAATTTTGAGTTTGATTGCAGTCTATCAACCTTTTCAAGGGTGTATTATTTAAAATATTCCATTTTTATTTGCATATATAATATAAAAATGACTACGTTCAGTAGTCCAGAAAACTTGATGCCAACATTACTAGTTATTATTTTAGATTATTCAATGGGGTATTTGAATATATTTTGATTACCGATATTACTATAAATTAAATACAATTTAATTTAAAATTGTGAAATAATCAAATAAATTAATGTTTTGTTGCCAAGTAATTTGCTAGTGTATAAAACAAATGGCTGCAAAAATCCTACAAAGCTAGAAATAAAACAATTTTCAAAAGATGTGAAAGTTAACTGAAAAGGAAATACGGTATATTAAATCATTTGTTTACTTCATATCACAAAAAACTTTTAGTTAAATACGTTAAGGCTTGAAAAGAAAACAATTAAATGGACATTTCGTCACGATGCCTTCTTAAGCAGACCAAAAAAACAAATAGACAATTGAAAAATATTTTGAAAATCTCAATGTCATTGTGGCTCAATGTTTGGAACAGGAAGCTCTTGATGTCATCTTTCAGATTTTAATTTGAGCAAGCTAATTGATAAAAATAAATATTTTTGGACCAACTTAAGTTACAGATGATTTACTAATTGCAAACTTCAACAATGATTCAGAATATCTAGAAATGACCCTTTCCAATGAGAATAGACTTAATGATAACATTAAAAACAGCACACGAAAAATGTGTAAAATTGATTTACATATACCGGTACCAACAAGCTGCAAAAAAACAAGCAAAGATAAGAGGACCATGTGAACATTCTAATAAAAGCGGCTTTCAAGCAAGAAAATCTTATAATGCTTACATAAAAAGAAATGGATTTTATTACAATATCAATCATGAAAAGGCAGTGGATTCTAACTAATGGCAGGACTGGAAAAATGCACCCAGTAACAATGAATTTTGTGTACCAAAATATTTGGTCTCAAAAAAAATATGCCTAGTACATTAAATAATACTTGTATAATTTAATAAAATAATCATATATATGAAATGGCACTGGGTTGGTTGTCTAAAAACTGAAAATTGGATGCAAGTTACATAGCTATTGGTTGGATTCATGTTTTTTGAACTCATTTACTCATGGCTTTTACTTTGACAACTGAACCACTCGTGCTTGAATTTAACAAATGCAACGCATAAACAGGTATAAAATACATGCTACTTGCAAGAGAAAACTCAGTGTTTTCAAATTAAAATAAAGTTTTCAATTAAATCCCTTCATACTCAAGGGATTAACTGGACATTTCAAGTGCATGAAGGCTCAACCAAAAAGACTAGTGTAAACAAACATTTGACATCAAATAAAACTTAAGAATGTAATACATTATAAATTATACAAGTAGTAAATACAAATGGAAGACTTCATAATAACTGGGGAATGTCTTTTTGATATGACAGTTCATTTATTTGAATATTTAAAAAAAATATATTTAGTTTTTTTTTAAACACAAAAGCATGTAATATAGAAGCACAGGCTTATATTTTTTTTAATTTAATGTAAACATTCATTCACTTATGTCAATTTCTACTCCAAACCTGATGTAAATAAAAAATAGTTATAAATCCAAATGTTTAAAATATTGTCACAATGCAAGAGTCATTCCATTAATCTACTTCTTGCTTTTAAATCGTTCACTGAAAATAAGTAGTAATGTACAAGTTTTATTTACACATAAGGAGAGATGATCAGTTTTCATGAAGACTGAATCATTGGTAAGGAAATGGATGGAAAAAATGTGACCACATGATATATTTGTGTGTATGTATATTTGGTATATAATAGTATAATCCTTAAATTTGTAAACTTAATATTTGGTTACCAACAGTAAGAAAGATGTATTTATTTTTTAAAACTTTAATGGCTGAAAAATGGCATCTCGTAAAAAGTTATATACATCAAAATAAGTTATTAAATACATCAAATAATTTGTCAGTTTTAAAATAACTGAAGTGAGTGAGGAACGGAGTATAGCAATTTATGGATGTAAAGTGGACCAGTTTTTCAAAATAAAGTATGAGAGATAAACGGATAAAAAAATATATTAAAAAAAAGCAAATACTGAATGTTATAAATATAAATTACAATCTTTCTAAATGAAATTTTGAGTATTTAAATTAGTTGTTTTTTTTTGTAGATAAAATGTGAAATTCTAAAATTTTATTAAAAATAATTTTTGTTTTCTAACTTTTCAACAAAAACTAATTCTGAAAAAAAATTTAAAATATGAACTATATGGTATTCCTAGTATTATAATATGTGATGAGATTTTTAAATTAACCCTATAACTGTCTAGTGCATTGTTCTGCAGTATCAAGCCATATTAGCATTTTCATACACTTGTAAAAAAAATTCCACGCTAAATGAGTTCAGAGACACTTACAAGTATATACATTTTCTGAAAGAGAACTTTTTAATAATTTTTAGTAAAATTTTAATACTAAAACCCTAATATCCCAATACTACAAAGATTTTCCAACTTATAAAATCAAGTTTTTGAGAATCTAAAATTTAGAAGGCATATCGTAATATTGGTGAAATTTTTTTTCATTGACAACCTGTACCTTCCAATTTCTGTCCCCACTTTCTGTACAAGGGGGAATGAATGACATGAGTTTGAAAATTCCTTTTCGATTGAAGTTATTAAATACATTTTTTAATTAATTAATATTTCAGAACATAAGGATACATGTCTTTGAATCTTTTTTCTGTTAGATTTCCACCCTTTCCCAAACAAAGTTCTCTGTAACAATACAGGCTTAGTGCTTAAATTTTCAGTGCCGTATCTGACTTGTATGTTACAATCACAGCTAGAGCTAATACTGTGGAACATCTCTGAAGTCATTTGCTTCTATTTTAACCCATTTGAAATAATTCCAATAAATAAAGTCTTTGTTGATTTTGCAATTTAGGGGGGCGCGCGCGCCGCCTCTTCAGACATGGAATAAAAAAATATATTTTCACACCAAATTAATCACAAAAAATAATCTGTTAAAAGCATGTTACAGGAAGCAAAATCATTTATAGAGTGATTTCCCCTTAACCAATTTGCAAAAATCATTTGATCAGCCATGACAGTTATAGTATAGGGTTGAGACATTTTACAAAATCAGAAGTTAAACCTAATCAACAGCAATTGATTTAGTCCGTAAAATTTTTCTATCAATTTTCTATTTAGTGGGTTGGTTGCCAAGATATCAAACTCTCCCAACTAATAAATTCATAGATCTAGTTCTCAAGACAAAGTTCCGTTGATTGTCACTGTTGTGTTTATAATATCAGTGGTGTTGTAACATGACATCATGTCAAAGGGATCTTCAATAATAAGCAGACCTGAAATACAAATATTTAAACATAAGCAAAGCCAACACAATATTCAAACATAAGTTACCTTTCACCAATCACAACTTGTTAAATAATAATCAATTTACTATGGTCGTTTTCAACATATCAAATCTTCACTAAATCTTTACCTGCAACACATGCTGTCATCAAATTTGTTACTATTCCTCCAAACAGGGCTGAAACAGCCAATTTTGCCAGGTCCCCTGTTCTGTTGGGAGCCATTGGTCCAAGCCCTCCTAGTTGGATGCCTATTGAGCTAAAGTTAGCGAATCCGCACAAAGCATAGGTGGCAATGACTTCAGACCTAACCTAAAATAAATACATGTTGTAACCAGTTATTTTCCTATCAAAGATGTTACTTTTTGATGTCAGTAATATTCATATCAGCATTTTAGGAATTCCTCAAAGAAACTTACTTGCATATCACGCTTGATAATAAGTTGTATTTTAATATCTAACAATTATCTAACAAATATCTAAGCCCTCCTCGTTGGATGCCTATTGAGCTAAAGTTAGCGAATCCGCACAAAGCATAGGTGGCAATGACTTCAGACCTAACCTAAAATAAATACATGTTGTAACCAGTTATTTTCCTATCAAAGATGTTACTTTTTGATGTCAGTAATATTCATATCAGCATTTTAGGAATTCCTCAAAGAAACTTACTTGCATATCACGCTTGATAATAAGTTGTATTTTAATATCTAACAATTACAATACTGCAGTGTATACTTTGTTCTAAAACCCATTCATTTATAAGCTGGAAGCAACCAAAAATTAAATCATTGTGGAACTTCTGCTATGGCCTTTTTGAGAAGTATTCCACACATTTTTTAATAATTTTTTTTTTGTAGGTACTGGGAATGATGTTTTCTATGTTGCAGTTGTGACAGTAATGAGTTAAACTTGATTGACCTCCCCCTCCAAAGTGCACTTATTCGAATGTATTATTTTCTCTTAACACCCTTATCTTTGAAATATAGGGATTTCTTTTATCAAAATAATTGTTTATCTTCCAATGTGTTCATCTCCAGGTAATCTCAGTGTGAATTACTTTATTCATTCAACACTTGTTATACATAGGCTTCAGGATTTTTCAGACTACTAAATGCAATCCTTGGTTGAATTTTTTAAAAAAAGTGCTATTCACTTACTCAAAGAATGAACTCACCGTCAAAATTGTTCCACTGCCACAAGTAACTCGGTTGTTAATGAAGTCTGCCAGCTTATCATAAGCAACAAATTCATTGAGAAAAGTTTTGATCCCCAAGAGTTTAGCCACAGCCCCAGCATCATTCCACTCCACACCCATGATGAAGACCAGAGGTCTGAGAATATAGCTGCAAATCACCTGGTGTTTAAAAGAGTCAATGGCAATGAAAATAGATTAAGCAAACCAGTATATCAGACCTGTTTACTCTTACGATTTTGAGGTGTATACATTGTTATGTAGCACACATTCCCCATGCGTGAACTTTCTTTGACCTCGCATTAGACTATTAGCAGACGATAACGTTTGTTGTGGGCCTGGTTAAATCTCTATGATGTATCTTGTTTACAACCGTGTTTAACAATTAAACATGGTTAGACTGTCTCCTAGTATCTTGTAGAATGTTTTGATGTTCTCAATACCCGAGAAATGTAAACAACATGTCTTAAGTCTTTTCTGGAAGCGTCTTATGCTACATGTATATAAGGGAGTGACAGATACGGAGAGATGAAGATTCAGATAGATAGTTTTAACTTCAGGAGAAGTGTATTATTCTTTGTGTATTTATATGTGTTTATTCGCATTCTTCATTATACTAACTGTGTTAACTGTGTACCGGTACAAGATCTACCATACTGTAAGTTGACGTTTGTCATTATATTTATGGTATCGTCCTTTGTTAGGCACTGTTTACAACGAGCCAATGAAATTAAAATAGGAGATTAATTTCTCACATGAGAAGCCAGTGCGTAACAACATTATATACTCTGTATGTTTATTTCTTTACTATTAAGATAATGTATTGAACGATTTTGTGATGATATTGTACGATTTTAAGAGTAAACAGGTCTGGTATATTAATTATTATGCAATATAGAAACATTTTAAGAGACAATCTTGCCATAACAAATATAAATAAGAAATTGAAAGGCAAATGTGTAATTACTTTTCTTTTAAAAAAATAAAGTCCAACACTGTTAAACAAGTTAGGGGAAAACTGTGTTGTCAAAAAAATAAGTCATAATTATTAAATTGTCTTAAAGAAAATATATTTCTATGTAGCCTTTGATTACCAACAAGAAATAATTTTTAAAAATTAGAAAGAATTGTAAAAGGTAATAATGTTTCAATCTTTAACCTCACCAGAAAATAAATTTATAGAATTGTGATGTCATATGCTAGAACAGGATTTACCTGGGATGCAAGCACAAGTGATTATAATTATAACTGTTTACATGTTTTTAAAAAATAAAATAAAAATACATTGTTAAGGGTGAGAGACTTAATCAAACAATTCTTAGGAATGGATAATATAGAAGAATAGAATTATAAAACCCTGTACTTAAGTATTAAATGTTTGCCAGTAAGGAGGCACAAAATTAATTTCAAACGCTAAATACAAACCTCAAAACTGAGCTCAGGAAGACACACAAATGCTCCAAACCAACCTAAAACACTGTTGGCAAAAAAAAGGAGGGCCACAAAAGCTATCAAGTTTGCCCCAACATTGGCAACCAATGAGATTGCTGATGATGCACCTGCTGCAGCTGCTTCAATCACATTGTTGAAAGGTCTAAATTGAAAAGAGAGCCATGTATCATAGAGCAATAAAAAATGCAAAGTGTGATACCTTAGTCTTTATTCACTATCTAACCAATTGAGGTCAATTAAGGACCCAAAAAAATATTAGACCAAATTAGGGAATTATAACTTCATGTACAGCATGTAAGTGTAAGTCAATTTGAAAGAAAATGCTATAAGTGCTTTGTAATGAATAGTAGTTCTTATTTTGAACGATGTCACAAATGAGTGCATGCCTTAGTTGTTTAGAATCCCTGAGTAATTCGTGATTTGTTGAGTTCCATGTAATTTTCGTCCTGTAGCTAGGCAGATTAGAGATTTTGCTGATTTTGTATCAATGTTAGATGATCAACACATGATTCCAATCAAACAGTAAATAAAAATTAAATATTATTTATTATTAGAACATATTCTTTGTATTTAAAAAAGGTCACAATTACAATTGTGAGGGAACATGCTGACCATGTCACTTTCGATGATCAGCAAAAACTTTGATATGTCCTCAAAACAATTTTTTTAAAAAAAATATGATCTTTGTGCTTTGCAATATAATTCTGAAGAGGCAACATTTTTCTTATTATACTTACTGTTTTTCTTTTATTACTTCCTTCATCTTAGAAATTTTGCTCATCCCAACCTCAGGATAAAGTATTTTAGATACAGCCAAAGCTGTGGGAGCATTCATCACTGAGGCAGCTATTAAATGAGCTGCTGGAACCTGTTAAAATATAAACTATTATTTTCAGAGTGTTTCATTAAACACTAATTAACCATAAGCATGTATTTTGTATAGTTTTAAGTTATATATCTTTTTGCAATTTTATCATGAAATTCACAGAAAGGAAATCCATTAAAATTTTTAGAATCAAACACGGAGATTGAAAATTTTCTACTCTCTTATTTATAGTTGCTTTCCTAGATTCATCCTTAGAATTTCTGCCAAAAGTGATTCAGAAGATTGAAACTAATGTTAAAAAGTGTAAAGTAAAAATTATTTTCTCACCCCTTTTAATATATAGGCTGCCAGAACGGCACCAGCAATAGTACCAAAACCTCCAACCATGACAGCATGAAGTTCAGACATGGTCATGATAGCTAGAAATGGACGAATCATGATTGGTGCTTCCGTCTGAAACATAGTTCAATAAATTATTAAAATACATATAACAAATTTTGGTTACAAAAGCAGTATTCGTTTAAGTAATTATTTACCCTGGCAGTTATCATCAATAGCACTAAAGGTTGTGGTGATCTCTGGCCTCCATCATTCATGGAATTCCTGCTGATTAAGTTACGACTTTATCCACAACATCTCTCTAGTTTTGGTCTATCAACCTGTCAACACCCCTTTGATTTCGGACGGCACACAACCTTTACTCCACTGTAACCTGAAACTTTGAGCCATCATTTCTAACACAATCTGACTTATTTACTGCTGCCACTATGATTGGATTGTTTGGTGGTTTTTTTTTATTATTGGCACTGTAAGGATTGGTCATCCATCATGACCTAATATAGATACATATAACTTTCTTAGCGTTTTGCTTCTGCATATTAAACTGAATTTCAGATTTTGTGGTAAGGGTCCATGTCTGAATACATGTGTACTGGTCTTATTTTAGTGATATTTACAGTATACTTTAATTTTCTTGTGATGTCTCAGCTTTCCAATAGCTTTGGTAGTCAATATATGAACATGGTTATATTTCCTTTCTCTGATGTCAGGTTTTCAATTTACTAGTTTATGTTAAGTCCTAGGAATATAAATGTTACTATTATGTCAAACTGTTTTTTTCATTAAAATGTTTAATTTGTATGTCTGACCATGTATTTCCATCTTGAGTTTATTAAGACTTTTAAAAGGCCTTTGGTGTTCCACCCTTTGTCACCTGCCTTTCATTTATTATATAATACTCCAGTTTCTCTGACATTAGTTTGCAATCAGTCAATAAATTCTTAAAATGTATATCTCATAATGTAATGCTCTCTTTCTGAAAGCTTGTTTTCTTTGGAACTCCCTGAAAAACAGTTCCTCTTTTTAAGTCCCTGTAAAGCATGATATCAATACAATATTTCCTGTATAAGCTATTTCAGGGTGTTCACCAAGAGGTGGTGAATTGGGATGCTGTCATTGAATTTCTGATAGTGAAAATGTATGCCTTAATTGCTGGATGAAGTATTTAATAATGTTATATATTAAATAATAATTTTATAAATAGTCAATTCTTATTTATTCAATAAAAAATATATTTAAAAATGGATTACAGCAACTAAATAAAGAAAATTCAAGGGACTAGAAAAAATATAAAATTTATTTATAGTTTATAGTATAGTACAAATCAATTCAAAACACATGTGTTATTGAAAAGTAATACATGTTTAAAAAAAAATAAGATTAAAAACATCAAATCTTTATAGACTTTGCCAAATGCATCAGTAGGAAAGAGCGACTTCATGTTCATTTAACACTGAAACTTGCTAAGTAAAAGATTTCTATTGGAAAAATAAAAAGCATAAGGTTGATGTATTAGCCCAAGACAGAAACTAATGAAAACAAATAGATGCCCCATGTGCTGACGCTATTGACAATTTTTGACAAGAAACTGTATTGAAAAATGTAAGTGAAAATAAAAGCAGCTTACCTGTCCAACAAATATGTTTCCAGCTGCACATAATGATTCAGCAGCTGTGGTGCCCAATGTAATCCTCATAATAAATGCAATTTTCCCAATGATTGCTTGCATGATCCCTAAATAATACAACATTGTGATGACAGTGCTGAAAAAAATTATCACTGGCAGTACCTGTTGAAAAGAAAGAGCAATTTCAATAAAATAAAATAAGATTTATATAAAAAAAATATTTTTAAAGTTAGTTTTGTAGAAAATTCAAGCCTTAATTTAAAAAAGAAAATGAATGGTTGTTCTTATCAATAGAAATAAATAAAATCTCATCCAAGTAATGACACACACATCTTTAAAATTAAGGTTCATTAAAGCTAGACGTGTTGCGCATAAAAAACAGCAAATCTAATTGGGGTAATACCGGTAATGTATTCTCTAAAAAAAAAAAAATTAACGAGCTTAAAATTTCTTTGAAACATAAAAGCTTTTAAAACGTGTGTGTTTATGATGATCTTACCAGAAAGGCAAAGAAATGATCCTCCAGTTTACCAAACACAAACTGAGCACCAAATTTACTAAAACCAAGAAAGCTGGTGAAAAGTGATCCTAATTCTTGGAAAAGATCTTGGCCCTTGTCCCATTTCAGAATAAATGCAGCAAAGTAAAACTGTAGGGCAAAGCCACCTATGACAGGCCTCCATGAAATCTGTCAATAAAATGGGTGTTTCATTAAAAATGAATGATCTATTCTTCTCAATAGCAAAAACACATTTAAAAAAAAAATCATCTTAAAACTATAGAAATTTGCTTACCCGTCGAGGAGAATGTGAACATACTGTCAGAACAATCAAGAAAAAAATCCACCCTATTAGGGACACCAGGTTGTATGGTCTCTTAGCCGCTGATAACAAAATTATGGCTACAATGCCACACAGTGGCACTAGCAATAGAAACCTGAAATTAAAGTTTTCATTTGCAGAATTTTTTTTTTTCATAGTGAACACAATCTGATTAAGTCTGCAATGTTATTCTGAATTTACCACTGCTTATTTGTTAATTTTCACTTTCAAAAAATTTCAACATGCCTTAAATTATCATAAAATGTTTAGCAATTTTTTTTACACATAGACAACTTAACAGTGCAAAAGATCATTTAGATAGGTATAAGCATAATCCAGTGGGCTTTATTAATTTATTTCATTTTTGTACAAACCATTTAAGCTTATGCCAATGCTTGTCAATGACTTTTCTGGTGGGAATGATCGCAAAATCCAGAATTTCATTTTTAAATTTTCTTTTCACAAAATAGATGATGAGTATGATGAGTGCTGCAACAGTCAGGTAAACAAGAGGGAGGACACTCTGACCACTTTCATAAAACCCCAAAGCAAATAATGCCAAGGCTACTGAGAAGTAACTGAAGTACAGGAAAATGGCCACAAAAAGTAACACCTGAAAATTTAAATTTTTATAAAAGTATTTTATTCAAAATGAAAATATATCATGTGAGCATTTTATAAATAATTATAGAAATGAAAGATAAACAATGTGAATTGGTATTTTTGACAGCAGTCATTTAAGCAATGTTTTCAGTCACAGGAGTGTGAAAAGATTTTGATAAAAATAAAAGAAATTTAATGTTAAGATAGGGCTTTAGGTATTTTCCAACAATTTATACAAATAATAGCTAGATTTGTATTGTACGATACTATAGAATTTTTTAAATAGCTACTTTGGTAAAGACCTTACAAATACTTACCCATTTCAGTTTTGAGCCATATCCTTCAATGATAGTGCTTACAAAAGAGCTAGAGGAATCTTCATCTTTTTCTTCTAACTTATCATTATCAGGGTTAACTGTAAAAAATAAAATAAAACAGATAAAACATTAATCATTAGGGTACTATATTTTTAGATATTGTTCGCATTGATTTTTTTTTTTTTTTAAATGTAATTAATTAAACAATCTTAAATTAAAGTTGCTCATTTTATGAAAACTTTGGTTCTTCTGTTCTTAAAAGAATGTATCAAGGTATATATGTATCATATATTTAAAACGATAACACTTGTATCATTCTGCTAACAAAACTCATTATCATTGGCTTAAAGGTCCCATCATTGACTTGAAATTTGCAAATTTAAAATCGATTTCCACCTGAAAAAGAAATTTTTAAATAAATCATTTCTCACCATCTTCAGGGCCTTCAATATCAATGACAGGTTCTTTTTTACAACTTCCATTAAGAAACTCCATCTCTTCCACTTCACTAGCAATGGTGGTTGATTCATCAGATTCTGACTTAAGTGTCATCGTGATTGTCTATAGTATCTACAGTCTTAGAGAAACTACCTTTGCTTGATTTTAGTCTGTCCACTGTATTCCTGTATGGATTATAAAATTATCACAAATCCCATAATTCCAAATAATTTTAAAGATTACTTTTGTTAACAGCACAATACAAATTTAAACTCTACAAATGTCTAAAAACAATATTTTCAACATGAAGTTTTATTTATATTTTTGTAACAACTTTTTGAATTTATATAGAAGTGTTTATGTTAACCCCAGGTGGTATGTGCCATAAACAAACATATCTGCAGCACTTTTACCCTCTAAAACAGAAAACATGCACATACATAACCATCCTATGATTATATCTCATAAATTAAAAAAACAGTTTATGTAATATATATCAGTTACAACTGACTTTTATGGTATAAAGACCATTGATTATTCATAGTTTATGTTAATAATATCCTTTATTACATTATTTAGAATAATATGTATAACTGGAGACGGTTACAAAGCCTATTTTAGTAGGATGACAGGAACAACATCATTGATCATCATCATGAAAATACAATTTACAATAAAACCTTCGACTACCTCAATTAACTGTACACAATCTTTTGAAAAATGTAACACTAAGTGTTACACTTAATAGAAAAGAAGAATAGTGAAAGAAAGTAGTGTAAAAGACTAGATCTTAGGCATAATAAAAATTAAGGTCAATAAAAACCGTCACTGGAGCCATATTAAAAATCAGTATGACTCTATACAGCCAAGTCCAAGTGTTTTAATAATTTTTTTTTAAATCTAGAGAATATTTAAAACTCGAAAAAATCTACTAAACAGGTATTTTTCTGAACGTATATTAAAAATGGAGGTCTGCTACATTTCTCATATTTTTATATTACTTGTTACTTCAAATTTATTTAAATGAATTGCTTCACTTGCACGTATATAATAAATATTATAAAAGTGCCTTACGGGTAGGCTTCCATGAATTGAAAATATTAATTTGCCAATTATTAAACATGAAATGAAAATTAATAACTGTACTGACATATTTAGCATTGGCTATAGCTATAGCACCAGACCTGTTTACTCTTACTCTTACGATTTTGGCGTACAATGTACGATTTTGAGGTGTAAACATTATATATACTGTATGTTTATTTTTTTTACTCTAATTATAAGGTATTGTACGATTTTGTGATGATATTGTACGTTTTTAAGAGTTTGAGGGTAAACAGGTCTGCAGCACGATTATGGACATTAAAATTAAAGAGTTTTATAACGTTGTATGGTATTGATCGTAATAAATAGGTGTGAAATGATCTCCCTCACCAAAATTGGACCTTTTGTTTAGAACCATTGCCCATGATCGGAACACGTGGGTGTGGCGGACAACAGATGTATGGTACTTATATTATGTTTCGCTTAAATTATTTTATTAGACTAATTTATATGGAAATTTTGGTAAATGTGTTTAATTAAAAATATAGTAAACTAATGATTCTACACAATCACAATTATTTTTAAAAATAATTAATCATGAGTTAAACTTGTCTGCCATGGTAAATTCGCCCAATGCACTCAGCATATGACGTTTGTTTATTTTGGTAGGCCTACCTGTCCGGCACGATGTCGGTACAAAATATATTAACTAATTTACATTCTAAATTAACATAAAATTAATTTACGATTATGGTCAATTTACGCAATCCGCGCCAAGTGAAGTAGTACACTAATATTTTACTTACGTTAAAATGAATACTACTACTTACAATTACCTTCAACAGTTGCCCCCTTTTATCAGGAGCTACCGTAACCACCGATTTGAATAGCAGTGCGTCTCAAAGTTTTGAGTGTGAAGGACCGGCAAGTATTATTCAAATATCAGAGGAGACCAGTTTTATAATTTTTATTATATATTTATTTATTTATTTAAATAAAGACCTTAAATTTATCATCTTTTTGTGGAACTCGAATTGGAGCTAGGGAACCGGGATGTCAAGGTAGAAATTGCCTTTAAAATTAAATAATTATAATATTGCGAACAAAGTCAAGAGTGAATAAGTTAAGCCTACATTTATCACTATGTTTCTAATTTATATATAAGCCTAATTTTGTATCCACGGGCCTAACTGTATCCCAACGATTACTATTTACTACTATTTCAAAATGGTCATGAATTTTATATCACAATAAATGTTTATTATTATGACACCATCGAAATTTTCTATTAAAATGTGTAGGCCCAAATTTATTCCAGGTTCATGACAAAAGACTCCAATTTTTTTGTCAATAATTTAAATTTAATTTAAGATTTATTATTAGTAAATAAGTATTGGTAGGAGTCGAGTAGTAAACCTACACTAAAAAAGGGCTTGAGTCTACTGACTACTGGTATTATAGTAGAAAATATTTATGATTAACAAAATTTAATATAAGAGGCTATCCATAAATGACGTCACGCTAGGGGGGTGGGGTCAGAATTTTGTGACGATGTGTGACCAGGGGGCGGGGGCGCTCAAGCCGTGTGACGTCACATGAAAAGCGGAATATTGTAGTGAAGAATAGCACTTAATAACACTAAATCAGTCATTTTTAACATTATTTTTTAAACAACAATTATTTTATTTTTGAACTACTTCGGTTACGCTATTTATCAATTTGGTGTCACCCCCTGATATGGTGTCGACCGCTGCGGTCCACACCACCCTAGCTACGCCACTGAATACAATTTCCTGGTCTTCCACGCTGAGGGCTGGGGAGGTACTTGTACCCCTGGTTAAGAACCACTGTTCTAGTGAAATGTTTCTAACATGGGTGCAGTAATTTGATATCCACGGGAGGTGAATTTCTGAAGGGGTTTGTAAAGGACAGTAGTAGACACAGGGACTTTTTATAGGGGGTAGCAGAGACTTTTGACGTTATATGGGGGGGGGGGGGGCCTAACTTTTNAAGAGATAAGTTAAAAATGAAAGTGATCTCTCTTGCTGTAGAGTAATAACTGACAATACTGTTAGGAAAAAAAAAAATATATATATAAGGGGCCTTCCATAAATGACCTCACTCAGTCTAATAAAAATTTTTTTTAAAAAGGGGGGGGGGTGGGAGGGTCTTAAGTAATGTGACGTCACATGAAAAGTAGAATATTACAGTAAAGAACCCCACCTAGTAGCCCTAACTACAGACAATTTTAAACATTCTTTTATGCAACGATTATAATTATTTTATTTTAAAATTAGGATCACTAAGAGAGTCAGTACGTGTATGCGAGGTCCGAGAAATGGCCCCTAATCAAGTTGCAGGACGCCATACGAAGGTGGAGAAAATGGGTGTAGTGACTTTGACAGTTGTGAGAATTTAAGTCAAAATGTGGAGACGGGAGTCATAGAATTAGGACTACAACATGAAGTGGGATGGAACGAAAATAAAATGGATGACGTGGGGGTGATATTAGTAAATGCTCTAGGGCAGAGATTCTTAACCTTTTCCAGCGCTGCAGGCCCAATCTGTTTTAACCCCCCCCCCCCCCACCCCTTTTTTTTTTTTAAAAAATTTAAAAAATGAAAATAATTACATGATTTAGTTATCGTAGTTTTATTTCTTTAATTAAATTTTTATAAACAATTATAGAAATTACCAATACAAGTAACGCGCAAACAAAATTCCCCAGAAAAACATTTACTGTTGCTTATCAAAAAGCATAAAAACTGATTTTTATTTTTTTAAAGCAGCAACAAATAGCAGCAAATTCAATTTTCTGGTCTTCCGCACCTAAGAGTCTGGGAGGTACTTTCACCAGTGGTTAAGAACCACTGTTCTAGTCAAATGTTTCTGACACAGGTGCAGTAGTTTCATATCCAGGTGACAGTAAAGGGCAGTAGTGGACACAGATAGGGAATATTTAGGGGGGGGGGGGGGGGGGGGGGGGGTTTGGGGGGTTTTTTTTGGGGGGGGGGGGGAAAAAAATCTGCACATTTGAGTGACGTCATTTATGGAAGGCCCCCTAAGCGCAGAAAGTCCGATATGACTATGACTCTAACCCAGTGGTTCTTAACTTTTTTGGAGGTACCGAACCCCACCAGTTTCATATGCGCATTCACCGAACCCTTCTAAATAGGAAAAATAAAATATGCTTTTTTTTGGACCTCCGCCGAACCCCTGAGACTAACTCACCGGACCCCTAGGGTTCGATCGAACCCAGGTTAAGAACCACTACTCTAACCTAATAGTATAGCCATAGCGAATTAAATAGGCCTATCGTCGGCCAAATCGATAATAATGGAGTGGTTATTTCACAGTCGTTTGGGAATAACGCAGAGCTAACGTTAGTTTAATTAAACCATTCATCGGCTGGGAATAACGCAGAGAGTTATCAGTCGACTGGGATTAACAATGAGCGTTATTCCAAGCCGACTGTTTACATATCAGCGTTGGCCGAAAATGCTGCGCCTCAAACTCATAAAGAAAAACGTGCCACCCCCATGTTAAACCGCCCCACACCCCGCTTCTCACGCCACTGGGCATATTTAAACGTGTAGGCTACAAATTCAGCTTTGCCTGACATATATCAACATCGGCTACTATCGATCACTGCCGGTTGCCTATCTTCCGGCGTGTTTCTAAGAAACTGTTGTCTCATTTTCTCATGTACAACAGAAGATCAAATCTTAACGAATCCCGGTTAAAAATTATGTTTAGTCATAGTACTCGTTGACCGTTACTTTATAATAATTTACATTAATTTATTTGGTAGACGGCGGTATAGTTATAACTCAGCATATCGATGTTATATTTATAGATGGCCTACATAATTTTTTAATTAGGTGTGGGCGTGGGCCAACGCATAGAAGGAAGTTTAAGACTTTCTATCTGGCATGGGCCTATTCGGAATCATGATTGATAATGATATGTATTTGTATTAATTATACACAATTATAAAGGGGAGATACAGGTAAAAGTAGAGGGGCGTTTTTTAAGTGGGGTAGGGTAAAAAATTAATGTTGACTAACTATTCATTCTAGTTTAGAATAATTTTTTTTTCCTTTATAAACTCTTAATTTAACGAAGTAAGAAGTTAGAACAAGCCACGTCAGGTAAGTGTGAAAGTGAAACTTTTTTATCTTCAAAGTAAAGTAATCAATTCAAAGTTAGGCCCATAATTGATTATATTCAACGTCAAGGCTGTTGATGTTTTAATCTTATACTTTTAATAGTTTTAGTTATAGTAACTTACATTAAATTTAATTAATTTATTTTATATAATTCTCTGTTACTGACTGTTTTACTGTTGCTTCTACTTCTAATTCGAAGTAAAAACCTTGAACTTAAACACTCATCACATCCCACTACCCTTAATTTAATTTAATATTTATTCTATTATCATTAGCTTCTCTGCTAAATGGAGAAAAAAAATTGAAACATTTTACTCACAATTTGCCCAAAGACTCAATGGATAAAGCAACGTTGCTCATTCAGCAACAGACTTGCTGGCGGTAATGTTCATGTTTCCCGCTAAATTCCGAGAAGGCAAACAGCATCAATTGAAAGCTTACTTAGAATTTAGCGGGAAATCGAAATGTAGAACAGCGCGGCAACCCTGCGATGAGTTGCCAAAGTATTTGTTTAGAAATAAAATAGAATTATGCAATTTATAAAAATAATTTATTGATTCAGACAAATATATTCATTTTCTACTAACTTAATTAAAAAAAGATGTTGATTATGAAATCGAATGGCCTTTTTTTTTTTGGAGTGGTCTCCCGTATTGTCATAGCAATATCGTTGCTACTTAGCAACCGAATAAACACCCTACTTTGCCATAAAATAAAGCTAATCTTTTATTTTACCTTAGACTTCAGTTTTATCGTTTCTTTTCCCATGGCCCACTCTTTCATTTTCGATTTTAATTTTATGAGTACATGTAGGCCTATATAATGAAAAAAATATAAACTGTATAGTGTAAACAGCACTGTGTAGTGTAGAATGACCAAATATCAACTGGAAAAAATGGGACACGCCTAAGAGGGTTGTGGAGGGAGGGGGGAGGGGATACCCTCAGGCTTAAGAGGGGTTCGAGGGCCTCCGCCGGAAATTTTTTTATTAGAATATGCTCATTTTAACTAGTTTAAGAACTAGAAATCTTTTACATTTACCTTTACTTTTTTAATTTTAATTTAAACTCTGAGGCATATCATAAACGAAAACAATATTTCTTTTCAATAAATACTTATTTATTTATTATACATATTTTACAACATAATACAACACAACAAATTAAATTTCTCTAGTCTAGGATTTAAATTGAGGATACTTGGCTGTTGTCCAAGCCATTGTTAAAAGCTCCTTCTTATCTAATATTTGAAAATGTGTTTGGTTTTAGAAACGGGACATTTAGGCGTCTCGAGAGACTTTTTCGGGACACTGGGTACGATCGTGAAAAAACGGGACAATTCTGTTTTTACGGGACGTTTGATTACCTTAGAGTAGTGGCTACCAATGTTGCCTTTAAGCTGCGCTGCTGCGCGGATCGCGCAGCTAACTCACAGACGCCACGCAGCAGTTTTGAGTATCCGCGCAGCAAATTTCCATGTAAATGTGTGTTTATGTTTGTAGGCTGTACAATTTTGCACATAAAAATTGATGCTGTAAAACTTTGCACACAACTGTATGATTTTACACACGAACCAGCAAACCTTAGAGAGAAAATTGGTGGCTACCCCACTAGCTTGAGACTGAGACCAAAGCTGCCTAACTCTAACTCTACATTGAGTGCTTAACTGTAGCATAGATAATTATTGACTATTTATTAATATTAAGCTTAGTTACTACTAGTAGTAGCTGAAGATCAGTATTTACATTTATTAGGTCAACATAATATATAATTTTTATATGCCATCCCTCCGTCTTTGCGAGGCGATGGAGTAGCCATTTACAATTTACACTTCATCAAATGGCATACGAGGCCGATCCTGGAATGACAGTCTCAGTTGCATTTCTCATAAGTTAAGAGAACCTTGTAGTTGTTGCAAGGGCTTTGTTTCGCGCATCTTCTGCCTATTTGGCTCATCCACTCTGCTGTTCGCCAGCTGAAACGGCGCCCAGCGACCGCCTCCGATTTGTTGTTTTGTATTTTGGCCTCCCTCGTGTGCCTTTTTCAAACGTCGTTAAATCGCGGCCGTCCAGTAAGTCTTGCCACCCTCTGCCAACTCTCCTCACAGCAGCAACTTTGAAAGACTGCCTCCACGCACTCTCCTCACATGACATAACCCGTGTAGGCGTCTCTTGCTGAGAGCGGAGAACTTGCTGCATTTTAGGCCTTATGCACAGTGCCGTCGCGTGACTTTAGGCGGCCCCCTTCCAATCTACCGTTTTTTGCGCCCATGCAATGCATTCAAAGTTGAAAGTCTAATTTTTCCACATCACAACTTTGGGTCACTTGGGGTTGGAGGGCCCACGTGACGGCACTGTATAGGCACATCCCATTACAAGTTGGCATCATTCATTCTTCGTGAGAAGATGGTTGTTATGTACCGATATAAGGTTTTGAAATTTTAATCTGTTGTTTTAAATGGCTCGTTAACAAACAGTACATAAAAAAGGACGATGCCTTCGATTAAATATGATAAAGAAATAGCGACAACTAACTAGTGAACATTACAAGTAGTGATTTATTTATGCTAACAATTCTAATATAAGAGTACAGAAGCTAAAATATAGAAATAAAAACTCCGGCAATTCTGAGCAATTTACAGCAGAAGTTGAAAAGTATAATACTACAAAGTTACAAATACGAATCCACACACATACTCACACGCAGTGAAAACGTGTAAGGGGTCATTTGCATAATTAAGTCACGAAAAAATGACCTTTTCTTACCCGCCTCCCCCGTCGCAAAGTGTCACAAATTCTTTACCCCCCCCCCCCCTTTTTCCATTAGTGTTACGTCACACCTAAAAAAATTCAAAACATGCATAAAATTTTCATACCTGATCTAATATTTTATTTATTCTTTAACATATTCCCCAAATGGATTCAGAGTCTTATTAAGATGTCGTATTATTAGAAAATTGTGACTTAAAACTCAAGACAACGAAGTCATCCCCGAGTCGAATGTAAAATGGCCACAACNATCAAAAATATGTCCAACAATAAATCAACTGGCACTGCTGGCACTACCCCCCCCCCCACCAAAAAATCTGAAGTGCCCCCCCCGGGGGAAAATTTCTGAAATAATCACTGGGTGTGCGCGACTGAGTTTCACGGTACCTATAATACCTGAGGAAATTCCGACCTCAAATTAATATTTTTAAAATTAATTGAATAACGATTTTTCAAAATTAGAAAATGTTGGATTTTTTTTTTTAAATTATTAATTGTGACGTCACAACTTTTTTTACCCTCCCCTGTCACAAATTCTCGACACCCATCCCAATGAGCGTGGCGTAATTTGCGAACGACCCCTAAGGCTAAGTCTCTTGTCTCGGATCCCTACTGGAGCGTCTCTTTTATTTATTGTCGAGGGGAAAGACTTTTCAGGATTCGAGAAGATCCATCTATATTTAGAAAATTCTAGTTAGTTTAAACAGAAGCCGCGGTTGTACGATGGCTCATCAAACACGCTCATTGTACAAGGACAGGTTAATTAGTGTTGAATTTTGACAGACAAACAAAGGAGAGATACCCAGTGCCAGTTTTCGATTAATTTTTTAGTAAAAATCCGAATGATGAAAATGGTAATTAGTATTTTATTATAATATACAAAAAGTTTAACTGCTTAAAATCATAGGCTCATTCTAAAATTGAAAAGTCTGTAATAGCTTTTTTAAAGTTAGTAGTTGATTTCAAGATAAACATGGTTTTTTAGTTTCTGCTGAGGATTTTAAGAGTATGGTCCTGAAAAAAACATCGCAATCGGAAGCAAGATCAGACACAGCCATAACCAAACCCGTGTTTCTTTCAGGCTTCTATTTAGGCATACCCCAGGCCCCAGGGTGACAAAACTGGGTGAATTTAGTTATGTAGAGCGTGGGTGCCGGATTCAGAGCTAACGCTGGTTGCCACTTCCACTATGACTTACTTTTTGGTGTTTAAAAATGCAAACCCCCCCCCCCAAAAAAAAAAAAACCACACACACACACAGATCTGAAATGTCTCCTCGGATTAAATTTGCTGAAAGATACTTTGTGTCACTAAGTCTTATACAAGTAATAAAAAACTGGGTGAATTTAGTTATGTAGCGCGTGGGTGCCGGATTCAGAGCTCACGCTGGTTCCCCCTTCCACTATGCCTTACTTTTTGGTGTTTAAAAATGCAAACCCCCCCCCCAAAAAAAAAAAAAAAACCACACACACACACAGATCTGAAATGTCTCCTCGGATTAAATTTGCTGAAAGATACTTTGTGTCACTAAGTCTTATACAAGTAATAAAAATAGAATTTTATCTAAGCGTAGCGATCTGAAGTGACTCTAAAAAAATACTTATCAGACTCTTGCAACACCCTTTTCATAATGAATGCCCTAGGATATTATTCAATTTGTGTTCTTTTGCTTGTAATGTTTTTATATTATTAATATGGTTTCTTTTTTGTTTTAATGATTTGCACAGCGTAAGAACTTTTCTGGTCACAAAGTTAAGTTTTTTTCCCCCATAAATGTTGAGCAATGGCATCAGAAAAAGATAGAAAACCACCTGAGATTCCAGACTTGTCCTGTGCTGAATATGTTGAAAAGAGTGTTGATGAAATATCAGACGCTATAGCAAAAGGCTTGTCTGAGCCAAAAGTGCAGCTAATAAGTAAGTACTGTTTTGGACTTTGTTTTTTTTTTTTTGTGCATTGAACCCACTAGATTAATTCTTTAGGGAAAATGTTTCCAATATGAGTTTTTACATGTTTAGACTTAAGACTATTCCGAATGATATTCTATTGCATTTTTACTTTTTGCACACTTGCAAAATACCAATTTCTAAGTATTCCCAAATAATTATACTTAGACTAAGAAATATGTTTGCAATTTTTTCTCTAATAAGCCACCTTGATCCAATTAATTGAAATTAACTATGTAAATACATTCTAATATTTTGCAGAAACAATTTTAGGTTCAATAGGCAAAGAAAATTCTTTATTCTTCTATAAACAGACGCAAGAGGTGGAACAGCAGGGTGGCATGAAGACCTCATCAGTAAGACGTTCTTTGTTGTAAACTAAACTATTTCCTTAATAAAAATTTGTTTTTAACAGTTTAAGAAAAAGTTATTGTAAATGGATTTTCATGAGAAGAAGTCAGTGAAGAGTATTTGGGATGATTTCCTGGAAGATCCTCTCTTTGTTAACCACTTACGAAATCACACGAGATACCAGTAAACATATTATCTAATAGCAACAATATCTAATAGCAACAAAGTGGAAATACAACTTTCCCTCAAATAGCATATAATATACATGATGGATTTTACCATTTGATGAGATTTGTGTTTGTATAGTATAAGCAGCTGTTTTCAGAACGGGAGGTAGCCTATCCTTTCTTTTCTTGCACATGAGACTATTGAGACAGACCTGACTGAACTATTTCTAAGAATTCTTGATTTATCTTGTTACTTGTTAATTTAAAAAAAATATAATCATAACAGTGAAAGGACATGAAATTTGACCAATTTATAACTTACTGATATTTCAGGGAGACCGTTGGCGAACATCTGGAGGAGTATTTGTACAACTACTAAGGCAAGAGGCCAAGAAAGAAAATGGCAGAGTTTCTCAAAAACAAATTGATGACATTTTCGACGAACAGAAGAGGTAGTTGGACAGTACAGAGCTTGCCTCTACAAATAATAATGTAGTTTCATTAAAGAAGTCATTTTATTATTAATTCTTAACTTCATACCAAAAAAAAAAAAAAAAATTGACCTGTTAAAGATAACTTTTCAGTATTCATATTCACAATGGTTTTTATGTTTTGTTCTTAAGCTTGTCAGCCTATATTTAACTTGATTAAAATTAATTAATTTAAATCATAAGGAGGTAATATATTTTTATTTGATACATTTTTCTTCAGCAATGATAATGAACACAAAAAATTGGATGAAAATGACGAAGAAGAAAAGGCACTGGAAAAAGATATAGAGGAAGGCAAAAAAAAAATCTTAAACAGGTCAACAAAAAAACCTTAAATATGTCAACAAAGAAATCTTAAATAGTTCATCAGATGCAAGCCAAAATGTCAGCGTTTTTAAAAAAACACTGACGCTGATCCGTTGACCACCATAAGGGGATGCTGTTGTAGAGCTGATCTCCCAGGAACTAGGCCTATAGTAATTTCCTATTGTCTTCTTATCCTTGCTCCACTGACTTATTTATTTAAAACAAGTTTCCTATGCAGCCAATAAAAATCGTATTTTTTTCCCCCAAACCATGTTTATAATTTCTTTTCATTTACAATGACAAATTTATATTTCGAATGCAACATTTTCTAGGAGCGATGATGAATTGGAGTCTTAATCAGACCTTGAAGCGGTATTTGAGTTTGCCTCCCCTTACGACGGTTTTGTTGTTGTTTTTTTTTGGGGGGGGGGGATTAGTGTTTTGTTTGGGACTCACGAGAATTTAAAAGAAAATTAATTAGTTGGGTAAAAATGAATTAAAACGCATTTAATATCCCAACGCATCACCTATTAACAATTAGTTGTAGCCTCTGAAAAGCTATCAGGCCTACAATATTTAGTAGGTCCACAATTTGTGACGTCCGTTTAAACTGAATAGAAATTTGATATCAATAATATTAAAAAATAAAAATTGTCGGTGCACACTTTGGGAACCATTGATGTGAGAAAACCACAGGTTTTAGTCAAAAGATTTCCACAGAATATACACAGTTGATAAAATTTAAATAAATTAATATTATAGTTTTCTAGACTTTGCACAAAGACATGTGAAGGAGGTGCAGGCTACAGGCACCATCACCAGGGGGCGTCTAAATCATCAAAGCACTTATATTTAAAAGAATTTGAAAAGAATCTGAAATCAATGTTGTTAACAAGTCAATACTAATAGGAATTGCTAAATCTTTTAACTCTTTGATGTGTACTCAATTTTACTGTTTTAAAACTATTGGTAATAGGCTAACTAATTGCCTCGGTTAATAACTGTGTTATATAATTACTCTTAATGGTGTTAGTTTATCAGCGTGGTGACTCATCTGCTACTTGGACGATCACGCCCAAAATGATGTTCTCAATGTCTGGTGACCACGCCAAAAGTCAGCGGTGCAACATGAAGCTTACACCTTGTTGAGACTCAGTAAAGGCTAGACCTGGTGGACCACGCAGTCGTTCAGCTGTGTCTTCATAGTACTGAATCCCTATAGGCAAGGATGAAAGGGCTCCCGAGCAGGGGTGTTATTTGCAGGTTTTATTTAAATAGCTGTGTACTGTGGCTCCTCCAGTGATAAACAACAATTAACAAGTCCACCAAGTTTTGGTTTTGCCCCCCCCCCCTGGAAAAAAGAAATGACGCCCCTGCTCCTCATCACATTGATTTTCTTTTAACAAATCCAAGCGCATGCATATTTTCCTAATTGAACAGGCCAGCAAAACTCAAAATGTAAGGCGGGCCGAAATACTTTATGAAAAACTTTTGCGGGTCGAAAGAAAATTGACAGTGAGAAAAGCTATTAAGAAAATAATCATAAAAATAATATTTCGTTACTTCGCGGGCCGCAAAGTGGGTGCTTGCGGGCCGTATGTTGTGCAGGTCTGCAATAGAAGACCAAGAGAACAAAAGTATGTCCTGCATGCGGGTGATCTTTCCATGACCAAATAGGACTCATATGCCACTAGTGCACCGAACGACCGTTGAATTTAGACTTGGTCACCTCACCTATCACCTTGCCAACCACTTTAAACCAGTGCTGTCCCAATGGAAAAATACAACCCGTGGTGAGGTTGTTTGAAAAGCACTGAAGGAATTTCTATTAAAGAATAATATTAATTTGAAGAAACTTTTTTTCGGCTACAAAAGATGGCGCACCAACCATGGTGCGAATGAGAGTTGGCCTGGTTGGTTTGCTGGAGGCTGACGATTTTCCAGACATTCAAGCGTACCATTATTCAATTAACCAACAAACTATTTGCCCCAAGCTGAAAGATGATACTATAAAGAATGTTGTGTTTAGTGTAGTGAAAATTATAAATTTCATTCAAGCTAATCCATTACATCACCGGCAGTTGAACACTTTGTAAAAAGAATATGAATGAAACTTTTGGAATTTTTGTTCTTTATACCGGTATTGATGTTCGTTGATCAAAGGGAAAGTGCTGGGAAGATTCTGGGATCTAAATGAAGAAGTGAAACTGTTTTTCAGGTCCAAAGCAAAGGGCGATTTGTTAAATTGTACGGAAATGCCTGAGTTAATTGTAAGGCCTGACATCGCAGGTCACCGCCTTGATAAATTAAATTAAAAATTGCAAGTGTGTTTTCCAATCTTACCAACGCAGATGAAAGAAATGAGTGATTTCGAAGCTAAACTGGGCTTATTCATCACTCAAATGAATCATTCAAGTTTTACTTACTTCCCAGCCCTTGCAAAGGCCGCACAACTTCCACTTCCAGAGCTGGTCACTAGCAAGCTATTCAATCTATTGTTTAAAAAGCTGAAGTAAGATTCCACAGATATCTTTTTAAAGATATTCGCAGACCTACTCCTGTTTTGATTTTTGTTGAAAATCCGTCTGATATTGATATCTCCACTGAATCCACGACCACGAAGATGACATCCTACAGCTTAGGAGCAGATGAAGGTGGAGTGAAGATTCTTTATGCAAAAGGTAAGAAGCATTAATAAATTGAATAATTTTCTAAAAAGTATAAAAAAAATTTATTATTTTTAGATGTCATGTGCGACCCTCGGCTCCCAAGAGTCAAAGACGTTGGACAGCACTGTTCTAAGCTTTAATATTTTCAAGGCATCCTAACGGGGTAAAACAAGGCTCCCTCACACTATGCTTAAGTTAGTTTCGCCCGGGGCGGGCCAAGATTTGTGTGGCCCCTACCACGAAAAAAGCTTTGTAATTGGACGAAAATGCCACAGCACAATTTAAAGAAAAGAAGAGCCACCCGGGGTAGACCGTCCCTACACTACCCACTTCCTACGCCACTGTCCCACCCAGATTTTAGGACCACTGAAACAGATCACTCTCACCCCTTTACCCCCCCCCCCAACCAATTTATGACCAATTCCCATTCATATATTATGAAACTGCAGAGATTTCTCTAGACCTGTGTTACTGCGTTTGACATTTTATTTTATTCTTGATTGATCTTATATGTAATTTTAGCCAATTTTTCGTACTTTTTAAGTAAAAGTAATCGATAAGCAAAATGGCGGACCTGGATACACCGTCACTAACGAAATCAAAATTTTAACTAAGCCGCCAAGCTCAACGAAAAGTTGTCAAGAAGGTATTTTGAAATATTGTCTATTTAAAATTCGTAAATAAACAGGACATCATTTGGGTAACCCATCATTTTGCCCATCCAGCGAATATATTACAAAATACTCATTCAATTAGAGATCCATCGTCTTTTATTGGGGTTTCTTTGACACTTTGACACTGACATTGACATTTCATTCATTTTCATTTATGACTTGGCACTTGGCTGGAATAGGTCATTTGTTGAGACTTTGATCATACTGATTGCATTACAAGGAAAAAGTTGTAAATATAATTAGTGTAAGTGTACTGTAGGCTTAAGTTTAGGGCTGTCCAGGAATAGGAGTGTCCATAAACTTTCAAAAACTACCCATTTAATTTATTCTTTAAGTTTAAAATCAAAATACCCCCTTCATTCCATGTCACAATCTGTCACAAATTATGGACTGCGCCCCTGAAACTAAAGTACATAACAACACTTTTGAACGAAACATTTGTTTAAAAATTAACAGATTACATTATTAAAATTAAATCTTAAACTTAAACTACACTTAACTATACTGTAATAGCCTATACTCTATACTACTATAGTTAGTCTAGTATTATTTTGGACTTTTAATAATTAGTATTCCTAATGCCTAGGCCTAGTCCTACACCAACCTATACTATGGATATTCAATGATATTCTAAAAAAAATACTATAGGTTACTGTTGATAACTATCTATTAGGCTCTAGTAAATTATACTCCATATCTAACATTATTAATATCTAGTAATTAATATCTACTCTATAGTCTATAGCCATGCATAGATAGTATACAAATATTAATAACACTACTTAGACCTGTGTCACACTAAGTCTATAATGCCTATACTTTATTAATATTAATAAAAAATAATAATAAAGTTTATTTTTAAAAAATCATGCTTCATCCCCAAAGGCTTGAGGCGCGGTAAAAAGTGAACCATATTAAAAGAGAAATGAATATGAAACAATATATATTTTACCACATTTAAACACAAAACGCAACATTACAAAAAATACAAACTAGCATAGCCATTCAAAGTCTTTCATCCCTTTCAACTATAAACAACACAAGCCAATATACATCTAGGAGATAATAGCTAGCTGGAAAAGATGGTAGACAACATCACCCCAGCAGATGTTTACGACATAGATGTGTTTTCAAATTGGTTTTGAAGGATTCCAGGATCTGGCTGTTTCTGGGTGCTGGGTGGCCGAGTGGTCTAAACTAAGCAAATCTCAAGCTGATGGCCTGGAGTTCATTCTCCACCGAAATCCAGTCAAGCAAAAACATCACCAGCAACCTGGGTGGATGAGACTCGATAACCTTAGATGGCAACTCATATAAGAGTAGGAAACTCTGAATTCAAACGTAGGCGGATAACATTGGTATAATGATTTCAATGCAACATTCTTATGACTCCTGCGATGCCACTGGTGCCAAGCCCTTGTGTTATCCAACAGCGTGTATAGTGGCCATTTGCTGTTCGGAACCAGCTTATAATCCTAGAAGAATAAACCCAGCCCTTGTGGGTTTCGTCCTACGAAGCCGACACCATCGTCACAACAAATTTTTATTTTATTTTATATGCAATATGTAGCCCAGGCCTAATTTTAGTAATAATATTCTCCCATATGATATTTATGACGAGTAATGTCACTATCACTAATGAGAGAATAACAATTATTAATATTATTATTATAATACTATCAAACCTAAAAAAGTATTCATTTCGGGGGTGTCCATTAATTACATAAACAATTTTTAAGCAATTTTTTACCCTTGTCAACAATTACTGTCAAGCTTTCAATGACCAGCTATCAGCATCAGCAGTGCACAGATAGACACACATTAAATAAATCTTATATTGTTAAAAGTAGGCTAAAAATTATATGAATATTTACACTCATTAAATTTGTTAAAATAATGTATTAACCAGTTAATTTTTAAGAT